AAAGTGATTCAGTTTTCACATGTGTTGTGAATATAGAGTCTATTTAGTGTTTTCTTAAAATTGTGCTTCCTGAACCCAGAACTCATTCCCATTCATCCCCAAAGGCAACTTAAGGTCTCTCTCTCTCTCTCTCTCTTTTTTTTTTTTTGTCTCCAGCACAGTGATGCAGTCCATGACCTCCTTCTGGATGTGATCACATGGGTTGGAATCTTGCTGTCCCTTGTTTGTCTCCTGATTTGCATCTTCACATTCTGCTTCTTCCGTGGGCTCCAGAGTGACCGTAACACCATCCACAAGAACCTCTGCATCAGCCTGTTTGTGGCAGAACTGCTCTTCCTGATTGGAATCAACAGAACAGACCAACCAGTAAGCTGCTTATATTTCTGTTAGCAAAGGCTGCCTATGAATTTTAGCTTTCCAACACTGTCAGCACCGATAACAAGCATGCTCTTCGGTGCTCTTTCTTTTTGTTCAGTTCATAGACAGTGACTTTCACACCTTACTCTGTGTTTCATTTTTCATGTCCACTGCCATAAAGACATGGTTAACATTATAGATGGGCTGGATATTTCTTTTTATTTCTGTATTACATTAGTTTGTTTTTTTTTTTATACAGGACAGTGATTGTCCACATAATTCCTGTTTGCATGTGTGTATAGCCTTCTCTGTCATCCACACCTCCTACCCCAGTGATGTACTTGTGACCATTGATGAAGTTTTATTAAAACATCACTATTACTTCAAGTCCATGGTTCATAATTTGCATTCATTCTGAGTGTTATGTACTCCGTGGACACAGAGAAACACATATTAACTCTTATAATAACATGTGCAGTATCTTTCATTGTCTTGAAAATTCTCTGTAATTCTTTTTATCCCTGTGTCTTCACTGAGCCATGACATTCATTTCTTCTTTTTATGTTCTCTAACAGTTTTGCCTTTCTTCCCAGTATTATTGGGATCATATACTATATAACTTTATTGGACTATTTCTTTTATCTTGCTAATATATACTCAGTTTTATTACATGACACTTTATGACTTGATATCTCTTTTCTTTTCAACACAGAATAGTATTCTTTTGTTGATATACTACAGTTTATATATCTGTTAAACCATTGAAGTGCATTTTGTTTGCTTCCAATTTTTAATAATTTTGAATAAAACTGCTATTAACATTTTAGTGCATTGTGACTCTTTGGTTTGTTATTTTGTTTTTGTTTTTTTTTTGTTTTTTTTTTTTTTTGGTATAATCTTTCAACTCCTTCCAGTAATTACCAAAAAACAAAACAACAAAACAAACAAACAAAAATCATAATTAATGGGTCATGTGGTAAGGTATATTCAGTTTGGGGAGAACATTGCCAGTTTCTTTTCAAAGACCCATATTTTTCTGCATTTGTACCATCAATGATGAAGGCATACATTTGTTCAGATTCTTATGACTAGAGCTTCAATGGAAAGGAAAACTTTACTCTGTAGTTCTCGGAAGACTTGTGAGTCTAATAAATAATTCACTCACTCAATGCTAGTCTCCAGTAGGTGTTCCTATGCATGGTGTACTATATAATAAAATGCACTTTCATTCAGCACTGTAATTATGCATTCATGATTAATGACTGCAAAGGATACAATTATGGTGAATATATTTTTAATTGGTTAGCATATACTTAATGTGATAGCTTGTCTCATAAATGCATATATATGAATAAGCAATCAAAGTACACATTTTCCTCCTCAAACTAAAGACTTATGATTACAAAAATTTATAGTTGAGATTGTAACTTTAAAATCTTCAAATGAACAATTGTGTTATTTTTGAGGAAAATATTCTATTCTTCAGTAAACCCCCAATTCAAATACTTTTAGTTTCTTTCACATAGAAATCATAACTTGAATTTTAATTCCCCAATGTTAATATGTTATGATAAACTTCACCAGGCAATGAATGCTGTACAAAACCAGTCTCTGGTGAACAACATAAATGATGGAGCCTGATTTAAAAAAAAAAAAAAATGTAGGGAGAGCGTTACTCAGTTAACTCAATAAAGTGTCTTCTTATTCGTTAGGTGTCCTTCTTTGAATTCCACATTGTCTTTGGAACCTGATCTCCCTCTAATCTTTCTGACATTTAACTTCTTCATTCATCCTTCATTGTTCTAGAGCATGGAAACAGACTTATTCATTGTCTCTAGAGATAATGCTCATCAATCAGAATCCACTGAAATTTTATGGGATTTGTTTGCTTGGTTGTTTGTTTTTATGGTTGTTGACCTTTGTTGGTAGGATAAACAAATTTAAGTAAGAACTTCCTGTCAGAAGAACAAGCGCAAAGCCATGAAAATTGTTGTTGGGAACCTGACAGATGACCCACTAAAATTTCTAATACTTTAGGAAGAAATGTATGAATAGCTGTCCTTAATTTAAATCAAGCTATCTGGACTAATATCTAGTGCAGTGACAAAAAAAAAAAAAAGAGTTTGAGAAAGAAAACATTTCTGGAACACTGAATTTTTGAAAGGATGCATTTATTTTTATTTTGTGTGCTGAGTGTTTGCCTTCATTTCTGTGTGTCAAATTCATGCTGGGTACTCATGGAACTAGAATTGTGAGCCCCATGTATGTGCTGGGAACCAAAGGCATATCTTCTACAAGAGCATCAAGTGTTCTTAACCACTCAACCGTCTCTCCAGTCCTGAACACTACATTTTATTTGGATCCATTTTTGCCTCAATGCAGCGTTAACATTTCAACACTACTCAGGCCTGCCTGAAGCAGGGAATAGACAATCAGCAGTTCTTAATACATAACAATCTCATTAGAAGATTGCTACTAATTAGTGACATTATTTTATATCATTTGATTTTAAAAATGCTTGTTTTCCTTGGTTTTAATATTTCTCTTTCATTTATAATTGAAGACATTGAGGAGAGTGTAGCTCCATGGTAGAACTCTAGTCTAGCACCTTCAGCCTGATTACCAGCACTGAAAACAAAAAAAAATAATAAAGCAAGAACCAACATCTTAGTCTTTGTTCAGAAGAAACTTTTACAAAATTAATTTTAAAATAATTCTCCTTTTGTGTTTTTCTTTATTTTTCTTCCTTTCTTCTTTCCTTCCATACTTTCTAAATTTTGGGGCAGTGTTTAGCTCTCTAGCTCAGGCTACTTTCAATTCCTTTTTTTTTTTCTTTATTATTATTTTTTTTCATTTTAAATACCAGCCACAGATTCTCCTCTCATCCCTCCTCCTGCTCACTCTCAGCCTTATCCCCCCCAACCCACCCCCCAGCCCCTCCCCCGAAAGCTACTTTCAATTCTATTGTCCCCGCCTATAGAGTGCTGGCGTTACCTGTATACACAATCAGATTCGGATTTAAAGATTTAAAATTCTTTAACTATAGAGATTTTAAAATTTTAGACTAACTTCAGTAGTAATCCCTGGGCTCTTAATCGGTTTTCCCCATAAATGTTATGATTTCCCTTATTTTAATGTGGTGTCAGCCATAATCTGTTAATTGAGATAAAAGGCAGTTTTCAAGTCAGTTGTTGTATTTAATTCATTTTATTGTTTATACTCTAAGAGTCTTACCCAGATTATTCTGTTGCAGACCTGTTTTGTAACTGCTGGGTTGATAGCCGTTTATGTTAGTTTTGTGTCGGGCTGTAGATCCACGTGTTTGTTCCACAACTGAAGTCCGTGTTCCTTTTCCTAGATCGCCTGTGCGGTGTTTGCAGCCCTTTTGCATTTCTTCTTTTTGGCGGCCTTCACCTGGATGTTTCTGGAAGGGGTGCAGCTGTATATCATGCTGGTGGAGGTTTTTGAGAGCGAGCATTCACGGAGGAAGTACTTTTATCTGGTGGGCTACGGGATGCCTGCGCTCATCGTGGCCGTGTCTGCAGCCGTGGACTACAGGAGCTACGGAACAGACAAAGTGTGAGTTGAACGCTTGTTTGCTGGCTTTCTTCTCTCCCTCTTTTCAGATCTACTCAAGGTGGAAGCTTTGGAATCTCTTGATGTGGATTTGCCCTCACAGCATTCACTAAAGGAACCGTACAAGCAACCCAGAGTATGATTCAATGTATGGCTGGGTATTTGCTGTGAGGTTAAAAAAAAAAAAAATTGAAACTCTGATGCTGTTTTAAAACTGCGTGTTTGTAGATCACAACCTCTAGTAACTGTAAGAATGGTAATTTCATATTATTTTTCGGGGCATTCAGACATGTCACACCACATGATAACTGTTTCATACCACAGAGTTGCTCCTGACACTGTTGGTTTCGTGTGATGTCAGGGCTCGTACTGGATGGGTTTTTGTACTGTCAGGAAAACTGAAGGAGCAGGAAGAGTCTGTGTTCCTCTTCCTTTTTTTTTCTATGTTATTCCGGAGTATAGTAATGAAGTTTGTTTCCAATACATCTTTATATTGTTGAGGTATGATTACAGAGATGTGCAGCACTTAAGAAAGACGTTCAGGTAGGGTGTGATGGTCCATGGCACTTGGGAGGCAGACGTAGGTAGATTTCTAGGTTGGAGGCCAGCCTGGTCTACAGAAGTAGTGCCAGGACAGCTGGAGCTACGCAGAGAAAAACTCTCTCGAAAATATGAAAAACAACAACAACAAAGGAAAGAAAGAAACTGTTGGAGCTAGAGAGATGCCTCTGCAGTTAAGAGCACTGGCTGCTTTTCTATAGGACCCAGATTCAGCTCTCAGCATTCACATGGCAGCCCACAACTGTCTCTAACTCCAGTTCCAGGGGAACTGGCACCCTCACATATGTAGGCAAAACACCACATAAAAATAAGGAATTTTTTTTTTTTAAAGAAAGAAAGACATTCAGTTCCAAAGACTTTAATGACAACTGAGACCCGAAACAATGAATAAAAATTTCACTAGAAAAAATACAAAGAACTCTTGGTAGAAGACCAATACTTACATTTTAGGTGTAGACAAATGAGAGAGAATAAAAGTAAAGAAGATTAGGCAGATCCCTAGAAACAGAACACTGGGACTGAGGGTCAAGGGAATAAGAGAAAGTTCCGTGTTAGCCTTTCAGAACCAGTGTGATTTATGTCAAAGATAATTAAAGTAGGATAATTACAGCGAGAAATCGCTTGATCGTTGGCACAACTATCTCAAGACAGTGATAGAACCACGAGACAAATCAAAAGGTGTGAATAATATACTAGCAAAGGCTTCAGATATTATCTGTACCCTGAAGTAATTTCACTGAAAATATTGGTTTATATGATGAAAGTAATGGAGGAATTCTGATTATGGTGTCACATGAGCTGTGGAGGCTCAGGTTCTGTGGGAACATGCTTGCCTAGCATGCAAAAAAAAAAAATGTAGGAGGACTTGGTGAAAGACGAAGTCTTTAGAATGTGTAGGCTGAGAAGAACCAAGGTGACACAAAATTAATGAAAAGAAACATGGTTATTTCTCCTTTGTAGTCAGTGTACGTAGGCTGAATGAGAGGAAAGTTCCCAGGGTGATTTAAAAAAAAAAAAGATATAAAACTAAACATAGCATTAGAAAGACCTTAATTGAATGTGTTGAAAGTTGCTTTAGAACTCACCACTCCCGTGGTTATATTGTATGCATCCATCAAAAATCAAGCCCATTCATTGTGATCTGTCCATCATTGTAGAGATAGGGGAAAGAAGACATTGGATAAACCATTAGGTTTATTTCAAATGCAGTTGGACTTATTTTTATTTTGTGATGTTGAAATAATCTTTCTCTTTATTGGTAAGCAAAGGAAGGGATGAGTAATGTACATGTCTAAGCACAGAACAGTTGTACCAAGTGTCAGATGCTGATTCTCTGTGGAGTGAAGTGGTGAGGTCGTGTTAAGAGGACAAGAGTTTTGAAATGCTTTGAGCACTATGGAAAGTATGTTAAAGAGCCAATCAGACATTAATAAAGAGATTTTGAGGCGGCACTGAAGGCTCAGGTGAGGTTAGATAACATTAATTTGTACAGAAGTTAATTAGCAAGATTTCATCACTTTGTACCAGGCACCAGAAGCCTGAACATGCTGGCTGTAAAGCAGCTTGCTTCCCAGAAAGGGAGATTCATAAAGAGGGAATGACACAAAGAAGACACCAGGATTAGTGAGAGCATAGTTAGAATAGAGCATGTGCTGCCCAGACCTCAAAAATACAATTAAGAGGAGACTGTTTCGTCTCTGGTGCATTCTTTTTTTAATACGGTGACAGGCTATGTTATCTGTCTCTACGTAACAATTATTTTCAAATTTGATGTTGTAAACTGCAGTCAAATCCGAATTCATTCTGTCAGTCCCAATAACAGCCGTGGGAGCAGACTATGGTTAGCAAAATGATATACAACTTGGCTTCTAAATATGTCTTAGGAGAGGGGCATTAAATTCATCATAGGCTCTCTTTTTTTTTCTTCTCAAATAATATCTTTATTGATATAACTCACAGGCCATAAAACTACTCCTTTGAAGTATATTCTTCAAGCGTTTTAAAATGTTCTCAATGTTATACACTTACCACCACTGATTTTACAATATTTCCATCAGCCTATAAAGAAGCCCATTAGCAGTCATTCTCCCTGGATCACAACATTTTGTGTTTTAGTTAATATATTCTCCCCCTAAGAAGTTAAGCTGAGTTATATCATTATGTGTGACCTTACACTATTTTCAATATTGTTCTTAAACAGTCCAATCTTGTTTGATGGATATTTCTGCTTTTCTTTTTGTTTTTCTTCCATGTTTATCTCTTCTCCAGAGTTATTTGCAAGTTTTCCTTTTACTGAACTGAGTCAAATTATTTGCTTTGTGTTTCAGTCATTTATTTTGAAACAAATGTCATTTTCTGGATAGTAGAAATCTGTCTTCTTAGAATCAATAATATACAGTCCCTAGTGACTTTGTTAAAGCTTTGGCCATCATCGCTTTAATTTCCTGCCCTACAACTGGTAGGTCTCATTTACTGACACCATTACTCTGTGGGAATAGAGAGTGATTCATTTCCCAGGCACAATTCTAAACAATCCTTAATTGCTCAGTTACGCAATTATAATTTTTTTTCCCCAACCAAAAGCAAAGCAAAAGATTTAGATGAACAAAGATAAGTGAACGAGGGAGGAAAGAATAGAGAAAAATCTGGTAAAATCTCTCACTGACTGGTATAAAGCATTTTAATGTTTATTTTACATTCAAAAAGTGTTCACAAAGATGACTCCAGGATCTATAGAGATAATATATCTAACTTCAACTTTGGGGGAGTTCATTGAATGCAATATATGCCTAGAAATGCTTTTCTCTTGAGGAAGCTAGTGTTGAAAAGAGAACTGTTATTTTGTGATAGATATTTACCCCAGAAGCTGACATGAATGTATCATGTTTACATTTGGGCTTATTCAAGATATCTTCTTAAAGAAAATTATAATCAGTGGGTTTTATTTATTTATTTATTATTCTTTTGTCTTATGTTGGCAGTTGAACTTGGGTCATGGTATTTGAGGAAACCACTCAATCACTAAGCTATATCCCTAACCAAGGCATTGAGTTTTGACTCAATTCCTATGACTTCTACATTCTATAACTTGGGATTTATTATCTTATGTCTTTGTCTTTCCAGTTTCTCTAATTGTTGTTGATTGATTTTATTTTATTCCAGAAGATGATTTGACTTTCCAAGTACTAACTACGTAGCTTTTTTTCTTTCTTGTGTAATAATGCAGCAAAGCAAATTTTTAGAAGTTATCAGAAATACTTTGGTTAAGAAATGGTTAGAACTATTCACAGAACTGGCAGAAGATTTTTAATAAAGAAAACTTTCTTTTCCATGTACCTCTTACTTAAATTTCAGGCTACATTGATTTCCAAAATCAATTAAAATGTCGGTAGTCTCATCTAATATAAATCCTAATAACCCAGAAATCAAAGATATTGCCAGCCTTAGTCTTGGAAATTTCATGATTCTTAATTTTTGTTCTAATATAATATTTAGAGTATATCTGGAATAACTCCAATTAATGTATTATATTGTAATGTAGTGTAAATAATAAATTTCTTCTTTCCATTCTCTGATTGTGTTTAATCATTTCATTATAGTGATAATGGTGTGTTACATCTGAAACCTTTAATAACAGCAATGTACATTTCTAAGAAAAAGATTCATACTGATGGTAAATGATGAATTTAGAGATAAAATTGTCTTGTAGGCTAAATAAATGTTATTCTGATACACATAGAGATAGCTATCATATTCCATCTGGCTGATGGATTATGATGTGTTTTTCTATGAAGTGTTATTAGGCTGTTGAATTTATTATGTACAGAACACATACTCATGAACAAAGCTCACATAATTTGATCTTAAGATGTTGTTTAGTTTGCCATCAATTAGCAATGCTTATAAGAGAGTCATTATCTTGTGATGTTTGAATAACAAAATCTTTTAATCTAATTGACATACACAAATATATACTTATAATAACATTCGGACACAATAGCATGGCATTTAAAAAAATCTAGTTGAATAACCAAAAATCTTTTAAAAATAGCCCTCTGCCAGTGGATCACAAATGTGTATTTCACTATTAATCATGAGCATATATTTCATTTTTGCCTCTGATCATTTATGCTTTTATTCTTTTGGAGAAGCAGTGAAGCTATTCCATGGGATACTGTCAGATCATGATTATAATGAAGATTAATAATAATTCAGAAAGGACTCTTGAAATTCAGTTCTAAATACTGTGATTGTATTACTTGAAACAAATCAGTTCGTTTAAAATTTATCAAAACATTACAAAAATATGAACAGTTTAAACAGTTAAAAGTCTAAATGGCTTTAAATGTTAGTCTAAGTAGCTTTAATTGTTTCTTTGGACTTTTCTCATAATTTCTTGTGTACAATCAAAGGGACAGTGGATAGCATCCTGACTGGGTTGG